ACACGAACGAGAAAACATCTCAAAGTGACTACGCGCAACAGAAAAATCCAGGGGAAAAAAAAACCCAGCAAAGTCGTTCCGGAAAAAAAAACACCGTATTTCAACGCTGTGTGCAAAAAATCCCAGTGGGATGCCAAGTCAAACAATAACAAGGCTAAACGAAAAGTTTTCAAAATCACCAAAATAAAGCTAATAAAACAGTGTAACAGTGATCATAGGAACCGTTGGCCACGGGAGTTCCCACACTTTACCCCACGACGCACGACCTGCTGCTGATGCTGACCCATCAATTGACAGGCATTGATGTGATTGTTGTTGCCGGGTGGACCGAGGCGGCGGCGGCGGCGGGGAGAGGTGGTGGACTTAATAAATCTTCAGCGTTGTTTCAGCTGCCACGCCGTGGAGATCGCGAACCATTAACAACAACAGACAAGAAGCGCATCCCAATTTATTTATTTAGTTTCACTTATTATCTCTTGCGAAACACACTCGTACTTATTTGACATTCGTGACAAACGAACAAAACACAAAAAACATCTACTCCCGGTCATTTTTCGAACCGTAATTACTCGAGGAACAGATTTAGTTTCCCAGCATCAGATGTTTCCCTTACGTCGCCGTGCTACGTTGGTTTTCGCGGACGGAAATAAATCGATGCGAATGTAAATACCGGTGTAATGGCCAGCGCGCGCGGTAATGTGCGGTTAAGCCGCACAAGCGATTGTAAATCATTGATCGGCTCAATTGGCTAGAGAGAGCCGCGTTTTCAGGGACCCGCAGCGATCGGGAGTTGCGATGGGGTGGCGAATTTTGAGGAATGAGCTCACCCCCTCCCCACCCCGATCGGTTTCGTCGTTCCGCCACATTTCACCGCACGCGCAGAGCGGGTGATTAGGCAGGCGTAATGTGTCATTAGTCTTCGTTGGCAACGTGGGTGGAAAAGCGAGTTCCCTTGAAGAAGAGGTCTCTCAGAAGTCAGGAGTAGCCCGGCTACGTACACTTCCGTGGGCCGTTCTCCAGAATTCGTTTGCGTATTTGACGTCGTTCTGTTTTTTTTACTTTGCCCGGCAGACCGCGACTTGCCGTCGCTCCGCTCGTGGAATTATATATGCGGTATCTATTTTTTTTTGGTTCGTCAATCCGCGAACGGGAATGCCGACAGCTGCGATTGGAATATTGACGGAAAAATAATCGGCGGCCGTTGTCGTCTCTCACACGAGGGGGTGGGTGGGGGGGGGGGGCCGGGGGGGGGGGGGGGCCCTCCTCCACTTCACCCCGTGGCCATGTCACGCTCATCCTCCTCTGCATGCCCCCGCCACACCGTAGCCTGTGGCTCACCCCTTTCCCAGCCGTGGCTGCGCTCTGTGAATCTTCGGCGAAGATTAAAGAGCGCAGCCACCCCGGGCCTTCCCTTTCGCGACCGCCCCTTTGAGCTCCAACAATTTGATCTTCCACGAGGCTCGCGGTCCTCCACCCTAAAATCGCATCCACTGCACAAACCACGGCAGGTGTGGATTTATCAAATGGAAAATAATAAAACTCTCCAAGTGTGCAACTGTGGTCATCCAGAACAGACCGTGCAACGTACGACAACGCAATTGCCCGAGTCCACAAATAGGAAGGAGACATCACGGTGATACACTCCAATATTCGTTTGGCTTGACCGCCTGCGTGCGAATTTGTTATTGTTGTTGTTGTTCTGTATCGACATCAGCCAATACGAAAGAAATTAAGAAGCTCCAACGATGGCACGGATACCAAACGCATTTATTATTTATGTATTCCCCCCAGCGAATCCGTGCTATCAACCTCCCTGCCTCTCTGTGCAAACTAAAA